TTGATTGGTCCACACCCGAGACAGCATTTCTTAGAGCCTAGTCTCACATGGTGTTGGACCAGATGACGCCAAAAGGCGCACAACTCAAAAACAATGCACTTTCAGAGTATGAGAGCTCGGGGTAAGCATTAGTTAGTTTTGTTGCCAGATAAAAGGGTAGAAAACCAATTATCATATTTTGCTACTGGCAAAGGAGGTTCCAATGGTGGACTTGGGACCGCTGGAGTGCTCCCCTTGTGTGCAGGCCCCGCGTCCCAGTGGCTGCTCGTACAGATGCACGACATGATACGTGCCACGATGAACAAGGCCCACTGCGGATGGAAGGAAGCTCTGGTCGATGCGATGTTCTCTCACAAAATGTACACGCGATAATTAAATATGAAGAGCAATAAACTGCCGGTAATTGCGTTTGATTCTGCACATTGCTTGGAGACTCCTGCGACCCAAGGGCCTCTGTGTGATGGGAGGGAAGGGGCGACAGGGCGAATGCCCCCCCCTCCACGCGCCCCCCCTCCCCCACGCCCACACACAACCCTGCACTGCCCTTCGGCCGATGGGATTAGCGGTCAACCGCTTCCCCATTGGACACTCACATTCGCTTGCCCATTGGTTTTTGACAACTCGTGAATGTTGGTGAGTGGACGTGGTAGGGTATGGGATCAAGCCAGTAACGCTCCAAGGGGTTCTGGGCCCCCGCTTAAGAAGCATTGATGGGGGGAGGGGGGCATTTTCGGTCAGCTGTGAGTCGGGCAGGCAGTGTTATTTCCGTCCATCCGTCCACTCATCGGAGTAAGCTCCGGGGTGTTGGAGGTCGATGGTTAATATATGCTAGCACTCTCTGTCTCTCTCTCCGTTACACGCTCTCGTGATGTCCCTCCTAGCTGAGCTGAGCTGGGTCCGCTGTGTCGTTTGGAAGGCACCGGGGCTTCATTTCAGCCGAACCTATCCAGGGCTGGTCTTCGGGGAGGTTTGGGGGAGGAGGTCGGTCTGAGGGATTGGGCACATGCGGGTCGGGGAGGGGAAGAAAATATCCAAGAGAAATTAAGCCCTCGATGGAACTAAACACCACGGCATCCCTTGGCAGCTGGAGCGGATTCGCCAAATGCGGTGACTCTGCCTGAGCCAGTCACGGGAGGAGCGTGGATTCAGGAGGTTCCGTGATTGCCGGTGGGGCCTGACCGCGGTGCCGCGGGGCAAGCAGCGATGCGTCGAGGTCGCCTGCTCCCTCGCCAGCAAAATCCTGGCTCCACTCTTGACCAGTCATGAATCACTCATCCCCCCCCTGCTCGCAGCCCCTCCCCCCATGCCCTCGACCCACCCCACCCCCCCGTGCATGCGACCACTCTTCCCACGTGTTGGGCGATTTGTGGCACGCGTTTGCTGCTGGCAGATGTTTGTTTAACATAATGCTTATCGAGCACGCGGTGTGTACTTCTACAACATGAAATTGCGCGGCTCATCAGCGGGATCGGACTCGCACGCGACACTCGATGTGGCTGCCTGTGTGTGTTTGTGTGTTTTGTTGTCTTGTTTTTCTTTTAACGCCGATCGCTCGCAACGTCAATCCTTGGTGTGGAGGTGGACGTGGGTGGGTGGACGTGGGTTGGTGGACGTGGGTGGGTGGCTGTGGGTGGGTGGACGTGGGTGGGTAGACGTGGCTGGATAGACGTCGGTGGATGGCTGTGGGTGGGTGGACGTGGGTGGGTGGACGTGGGTGGATAGACGTGGGTGGGTGGCTGTGGGTGGGTGGACGTGGGTGGGTGGACGTGGGTGGATAGACGTGGGTGGGTGGCTGTGGGTGGGTGGACGTGGGTGGATAGACGTGGGTGGATGGCTGTGGGTGAGTGGCCGTGGGTGGATAGACGTGGGTGGGTGGACGTGGGTGGGTGGCCGTGGGTGAGTGGCCGTGGGTGGATAGACGTGGGTGGGTGGACGTGGGTGGGTGACTGTGGGTGGGTGGACGTGGGTGGGTTGACGTGGGTGGGTGGCTGTGGGTGGGTGGACGTGGGTGGGAGGATGTGGAGCGCAGTCGCATTTGTGTGTCTGGGAGATCCTTTTGTTAACATAGTCGGGGCAACGGGGTTTTTATTAACGAAACGTGGGTCTCTTAGAACAAGGTTCAATGCAGTCGTCTATTATAAAAAATGCAAAAGGTAAAGGTGCAGCTCTGAAATATCTTGCTCACACCACTGCTGGCGGAAGAGCCTCCATTAGCGGCCGTTCTAGAGCAGGGGTCGGCAAAAAAAAACCCCACACACACCTCAATATTTCAAGAGCCGCAATGCACTGTGGTGAAAACGGGACGGTGGTCGTCCTTGCTAGATCACGTGACGAAGCAGCTGCTCAAGTGCCGCGTGCGGCTCCCGAGCCGCAGGTCTCCGACCCCCTGTTCCAGGCAGTGCCCCTCCGATCAAGACGCCTCGGAGGAGGCGGGGGTGCCCACGCTTTACCCCACCACGCGGGCACTGCCGATCGACTGCGTTAATGCGCGACACCAGTGCCCTTTAGCTGTGCGGTATGGTCTCACTGAGTCTCAACACTCCTTTTCAGGAGGCTCCTGCTACCTCGTGACGATTGTTTTGCACGCGCGAGGAAAGACACACACATAATGTGCCCTGTCCACACACATGAACGCCGCATAGACGTGTGCACAAGGCCACAAATAATGAATGCTTGCACACACACACACACGCGCGTGTGTGTGTGTATCATACACTATATAGACAATACACATGTCAGGCCGAGAGAAAAACAAATCTCATGCAGTTTTATTTATGTATTTGTTCACAATGGGGGGAGGGGAGTTGTTTCACGTATCACATGCGAGCGTATGACATCGAATTTGCTGTTTTTTTTTAAAATGCGCGGATATAAACCCTCTCGGCGTTGTTGAGTAATTAGTAAAAAAAGTTTTGAGCAGTGTGCGTTGGATTGGATAGATACGGCACGTATGTGCGTGTATACCATGCGGACGAGGTGTGAACTTCCTCGCCTGGTCTACAGGAGGTCGTGGGTTCGATCCCGAACCTGACGCCTGCTGCTGTATATTTGGAGTTTGCGTGTCTCTCTCTCTCCCCGTGGTCGCGTGGATTTGTCTCCGGGTCTTCCGGTTTTCCCCTCCACATTTAGAAACATGCGTTTATGGGTATTTGGCTGCTATACATTTCCACATGATAAGCCACTTTGTTGAGCTGACATTTGTGGCCAGTTCGCTTCTGAAAAAGAGCTCAATAGCTCAGTGGACTTTACCTTGTAAATTAAAAATAGTAGTAGTAAATAGTATAGTACAGAGTGAATGTGCGTTCGTGTCTGTGCCCGTGTGCGCGCGTGTGTCTTCACACACACACACATACGGTCAAGCAAGCTAAAGTGAGAGGGATGAGGTTAGCTCGTGTGCAGGAGTGAGATGGATTGTGGCATCGCAAGACGGTGAGGGATGATGGCGTTGTGGGGAAGGCTTCAACCAGCAGTGAATAGACCATGGCAACTGCTGCTGCTGCTGATGATAGCGAACGATAGTGAGTATATAATTAGTAGGTGAGTGTGTATGTGTGTGTATCTGTGGCGGGCGGTGACACAGCGGATAGGGCACTGCGCTTCAAATTCGGAGACCCGAGTTTGGTTCCCGCTCACGGCCAATACCAGTGGCATTATCTGAGCCGGTCATGGGTCTCTCTAAGGTCTACTCGGCCTCAAATGATTATCTGGTGCGGTGTTTCAACATCGCCAAGATTGGAGAGAAATGCGGCAGAGTGTGGTGCTGGTCACCCACCTCCTCGTGCACCGTTCCGGCCTTCAGAGGTACTACTCGCTAACAGCACTCGCCCCAAAAGTATGTTGAGGCTATACGGGGGTCTTTGTCTTTGTTTCTATAACTGTATCTCAACATGTCGCAGCGAATCAACAATGGCCAAGCGTTGGCCAATATTTATCCGTTTACCGGTCCATAGCACACGCACGTGACGTCGTATACGTGTGAACACGCACCGTGTGAGCGAGTGAGTGTGTGAAAGTTACTCTTGCGTGAGGGTCAGGCTGGGGTGCAGAAGATGTGAAGAGTCACCCCCCCCCCCCACTCCACCAAACCTTGCGTCCTCGACGGACCTACGATAATGACGATGATGATGATGCTGACGATGATTCTTGACCACGACAACGAAAATGGTGATGACGTTGATGGCAATGACGATGACGATGACAACAATGAGGATTGTGACAATGATATCTGATAGCTATGACGGCGGTGGTGATGATGACGGCGATTTTGACGACGGCGACAATTAAAAAAATGACAACTACGAGCAATCGGCATCTTATGACACGCTGCCAGATTAATAACGAGGCTTCATCAGAGGCGCTCTTGTCCCGCCGACGAACCCTTCCCACCCCCCCTCCCTTCTTTCCTTTCTGGCCTCTCCGCCTTGCATTGATGACGACGGTGATCGTGGACGCGCCAGCGAGGGGTCGCTCACGACCCGCGCGCAGCTCCGTGCGAGCTCACGGGGTCCGTGCAGAGAGCGAGCGAGAGAGAGACGCGCGCGCTGTGCACCCACTCGGCGTCTCCAGCGAATTCACGACAACTTTGGCATCGCGCGCGCCTTGGGCTCAAGCACCGCGCGCGCACCTCATCCTCGCCGTCAAGCAACAACATCATTCGCCAAGCTGCAACATCATCTTCGCCATCTCCGTGCGATGCTCCTGGCAGAAGGGGACGGAGCCGCTGGGATGGGGGCGGTGTAGCGCTGCCTCCCCTTCCTCTTCCCCCCGTCAACTCCCTCCCTCCTGATCTCCCGCCCGCCGCACGCTTTCCTCTCCTCTCTCTGTGTCGCTCCCTCTCTCTCTCTCGCTCTCACTCGCGCTCTCATCCATCCGCCCGGTTACCCCGGAGAGAGAGAGAGGTAGAGAAAATATCTGCGCTCTTCCAGCGCCAGACAGACAGCTCGTCCGGAGATAAGGGGGTGGGACGGGTGGGGGGTAGATGTGGTAGGGAGCGGAGGGAGTTGACGTTGCGCGCGTCTGCGATTCCTGCCCAAAGTGTCGACCTCGCGAGTGGGTTTGAGTAGAGCCGAGTCGCCCTTTACGTCGCATTGTGTCTGCGGTCCAGACTTGTAGCTCGCTGGCTCGCTCGCTCCCTCTCCTCCTCCTCCTCATCCCTCCCCTCCTCGTTCTCTCCTCTCTCCACGCCGCTACCTGTGTCGAGGCGGGGTGCCTCGCGTGAGCTTCGATCCGTTCCCCTCCGCGTTCTAATTCCGAGCTTAAATGCGCGGCGCGCGCGAGCGCACGGACAAGGTGACCAGGGAGGGGGGGGGGCGGCGAAAAAAATCACTCTCGGCCATCGACAGCGGCGAGAGCCTCTCAAATTGATTTCTGATTGAGCGCCACAGCGAGCATTGGCGCCCGCGAATTTAGGACGTGTCGAGTGAGTTTTGGTGGCGTGTGGGGGGAGTGTGTGGCAGGGCGGTGGGGGGGTGTCGGTGGGGAAGGAGGGAGGAGGGGGTAGAGTAGGTGGGAGGGTAGCTAGGTTGGTTGTGTTGTGTGTGGTTGTTTTGCTGTTGTTGCTGCTGCGGAATCGTGGTGTCTCTCGTGTAGTCACTCGTAAGTGCTAGCACCCGGCCGCCCTGTTGGTTAAGCTGATATCTCTCCCAGTGCTCCAAGCGGAGCGGCACGCGTGCGTTTCTCGGCTGTTGGTCGCGCTCGAAATGCGTTCGTCCGGCGTCGAGTCCTAGAGGAGCCATCGAGGTGTCCACCGAGCATCGGACTGGGAACGCCGCCAGGCATGCGGGTGAACTTATTCCGACTCACACCCGCCCGACCTGGTCTTCTCGCTCCTTCGATCGTCTCCTCTCCGGGACTCGTGCTGAGAGGAGGCGGAGGAGCAGGAGGAGCAGGAGGATGATGCCACGGGCACGTTGCACGCTGGAAACTCGAATGTGTGCCTAGGGACACCACGCGTGTCTACGCCGAGCGGCGCGGGGCTGAATTGCACATCGGCGAGATCACTCGACGATGGATACTTTACGGAAGAGGCCGCCTGTGCTGCTACTCCTCGTCCACGTACTCTTTGCGTTCGCCCTCGAACGTAAGTCTGCTTTCTTTATTCGCCGATTTTTCATTCACCGCCGGGGCTACGCGCGTGCGTTGTCTGCTGAGCGTGTTGGATTTCGCGTTCACGATAGTACTCTTCATTTTTGCTTTAACGAGTGCTGTTGTTTGTCCAAGCCGGCGTGTTTTGTTCGCGTCCCGTGCCTTCACCCAGAGTGTGCCGTCGCGTGCCGCTTTAGCGTGTGGCGTTATAAGCGAGGGGGGGGGGGGAATGAACGCGTCGAGATAAGGGGACCAGGTTTTGCGAAGCGCTGCACGCGAACGTCGCTGGGTTTCACGATAATTTGGCCCCAAATATCGCGCAATATGCCCCAGAACAACCCCGGCTCACGCGGTGGTGTCGGTGGCGGTGCTCGCTAGTGCTGCCGCTGCCTCAGAGGCGATCGGTCTGGCTGTGTGAATAAGATTATGTACTTCAGAGACCCCGCGAGTCTACATGCCGGAGCACTGATAAACCACGACCTTTGCGATGCACGCGCAATGTGTGGTGCTCCTGCACGTTCCGCCCGATGATAAACCGCTGCGTGACGCTCTTTCCATCACAATGTACGAGATGACTCATTTCCCATAGTGCGCTTTTGTGTGCATGTATGCGCGCGCGCGCGTGTCATAATAGTGGGGAGCGGTGGCGGAGTGGTTAGCGCACAGCGCTGCGAACCCGTTGACCCGAGTTCGATGCCTACTCACGGCCAACAACATCGGCGGCGAATATCTGAACTGGTGCTGGGCCTCCCCCTAGGTCGACTCAGCCTTAAATGAGTACGCGGTGCGGTGTGTAGTAAAAACATCAACATTTGGGGAGACAAAGGCGGCCCTGGCGTGATGCTAGTCAACCAACCCCCCCCCCCTCGTGTGCCGTCCCGGTCTTCACGTGTGCTCGCGAACAGCACTTGCCCCAACAGTCTGTTGAAGGCTAGACGGGGGGTATTTGTCTTGTGTATGTGAAATTGATATTTGAGTGATGGGAGAAAGGGTCATGAATTGCGCCATCATCAGGAATCCGGGACCTGTCGGAGAAAGACGTTTCAGTCGCTCCGGCAGCAAAAGCGCGAAAGGGAGAACGATTTTGGACGCGACCCTGAGAGCCTCGGTGAACAAGAATCAAACCGCTCATGTGCTGTGTGCGTCTTCATCAATTAATTATCTTGCGTGCAGCCACTTGTCGCGGGCTATCCGTTTCTTTTGTAAATGTCCCTGGAAAATTTTCTCGAAGGGGAATTCATTTTTTTAATTGTCCTCTGTAGTAATTATACAAGCAATGCGTGACGTGTGCGCGTGTGTGTGTGTGCATTACGAAAGCGATAAAATTCCCTTTACGAGGAATACACCGCTGTGGTTCACGCACTGCGTTATGGACGCGTCCCAGTCGAGTTCGATTCACGGTCGTGGCTGACATCAGGTGGCGAGCGATATCTGAATCGATTCTGACACCCCTCAACCCCCGCCTCGCCTCCCCTCTGCGCGCCCTTTAACCAATCGGCAATGGCCAGCGTGGTGAAGTATGGTCAAACAGCCCCAATGGACCAGCCTATGCGTGGGGATGCCTTCATCCAGCAGTCAATTGACGAAGGATTGTACGATATTACTCTCGTCAAATGTACAGGGTGCTTCAACATTATAAAAAAAGTCAAAGTCTCCCACTTGTTCGCCATCATTGTAAACGCGTCCCTGGAATCTTCTCCAGGTGGTCTCCAGAGCCCGGAGACACATTTTCTCGTGGTATCGTTGTAAATTCTCAGAAGCGTTAACGTATTTTGTTGAAGCACCCTGTATTACCAGCCGAAACGTTCACGGAGCTTTAAGCTCAACCGTTACCACGAAATCGCGTCCTTTGCAATAGCACACATGCATTTATATTAAAGGCAACTGATGTTCGTGCCTGTGTGGCATAAAATAGCCATGAGCATCAGCACCGGTGAGACAAAGGCGGCCGGGCGTGCGTGATGTTGGCTCCCGCCATCACGTGAGCTACGTGCTCGCTCGGGTCAGTAGGTTCTGGTTGTCTTGTAAAGCCATGAAGGAAGGTAATAAGGTCTGTGTCTGTGTGTGTGTTTGTATATGACTTCACGCACGTGTGCCCTTATCATTCGTGTGATTTGTGAAGGCATTGGCGCATCAGAGGCGGAGGAAAGGCTCGTTGACTATCTGCTGCGGCCAGACAGATACAACAAACTCATTCGCCCGGCCATCAATAACTCGCAGCTGGTTACGATCACCTTTCAAGTCTCCCTGTCCCAGCTCATCAATGTCGTGAGTGTCCAACCCACACACCCTCACCCCCCACCGCTTGTACTCGAGTAGAGATTTTAAAATTGTGTTTTTTCTTTCATGGGCCATGATCTCATTGAGAAACCCATGGGTGCTCCAATTCGCTGTTATCTCCACTAAAGAAGCTTTGGCTCGATTCAGTAAACACACGTGCTGTCTGCAAAGTTTATATAGCTCGTGTTATATTTTAATTGGCCGAGAATGCTTACATGTCTTCAAATGACATAATCGATACTCATTAATGAAACGTGAATTTTAATCCGACGTACTTCGAACCCGCGCGTGTTTATCTGATATTTATTCGTTTACCATTATATGAAATGTAATTTCGTGATTATTTATCTTCGAAATGAGCATTGTGGTAGTACAGTGCATCTGCGGTATGATTTACTCCAGAGGTGGGAAGTCCCTGCCAGTAAAATGTCATGGTTCTGTTCCTCCAATAAGTATTCCTATCTCACCTACATTCACCCTCCAGAACAACACCTCCTCCACTTACCCCCCCCCCACCTTCCGCCTCCCACACGCAATATATAATTCAATTATCGTACATATTGGAATTACAGAAAAAAACACTTGCATTTGTTTTCTGAGTGTACGCGACTGACCGACGGGCGACTTTAGCAGCTCACGCGTGTGCATGCCGCGTTGCTCGGCGTAGCGTCATCAATTGTGATTTTGTGTCGCAACGTTTAGAACGAAAGGGAGCAGATCATGACGACCAACGTTTGGCTCACCCAGGTAAGACCCACGGCGCTTCTCTGCGGCGCATCGACACTGTCGCTGTGCACACCCCACGCGTAGCGCTGCCGCCGCTGCGGTGCGGTAACGAGTGGCTCGGCAGCCCACGATCCCCGTCCTCAGCGCGGTGAATCGCACGGGTGTGAGGGATTTTGGGGCGTTGGGGGTACAGATCATCAAATCGCCCGTGGAACAAAGACCGCCGTGTCTTTTGGTTGTGAGAGTAATGGACGTTCACGGACCAAAAAATAAAAACGCTTCGAGAAGCAATGAATTAAACCGGATCTAGGAGTTGGAACGTGTCAAAAAAGTCACGGTGTCGTATTTGACCCGGATATTAACTCAAACCCATTGAGACGCACGCAGGCAATGGTTGTTACGTGTGCCTCAATGGCTTTGTTTACAACCCCTGGTTAAATAGAGGAGACGATACATTTGGAACTTAAATCTTTATAATTACAATAACGTAATTGTAACATGCGAGTGCTGCTTTGGGTTGTTTACTCAATTTCAATTAATACATTTTTGCACGATGTTGTTATTATTTTAAGGATGGTTTCCTCGCATACCCAGTGTGTGTTTCATATGTGCCAGCATTCTTGGTAACTTGTGCCAATGCCGGGAAATTCCACACGCTCGTGGCTGCGTCAAGTTCATTCCACTTCATGACTGTTGACTTCCTACTGAGTCGTGCGAATCTACACGTGGTGCTCATTCACAGAGAACACGGTGGTGTGGGGGGGGAGGGTTTCAGGGATTAATTCGACCTTCTGAGCCCACTGTTTCATAATAACACCGCCCTGAATTTACCCAGGAAAGCCTCATTGAGCATTAAGGCTCAGTTTTTTGAATGAGGACATTGGGATGTTTGGCTAATGCCATAAATTAGTTTTGGCGTGTGGGAGGAATGCTGAGCAGGCAGAGACAACCAACCACGCATCCAACAAGCTCCTTACAGATGGATTCCATCCAATTCTGTGCTTCAATCTCCTGGCCACCTCGCATCCCAAACCAACACAAAACTCCATCCGAGTATTAACCAGGCTCGATCCAATTGAGCTTCTCAGATCCGATGAGATTGGACACATTTAGGGTCATATGATCGTAGACAATTGCTATGATATTCCGGTATTAGATTGTTAACGGCACGATACCAGAGTTCGTGTGCAGTTGCTTGGGTGGATTACGACATCAACAGGATCGTGATATGTGGCTGAGGCTTGGAGAGGTCTTCATCCAGCAGCGGATTAATGATGTCTGATGATGATCACACTGATGATACTATTCATAATATATGCAGTGTAATAATGCTAAGGGTATAGACTATTTTGGGCAATTGTGGAGCAGCTGATGGCCTGTACATACGTTTTATGCCCTGCCTCAAAGCCTTTTATCTGCTTCTGGTGTGTTTATAGTCTATATACAATGATAAATTACTGCTTCATCAATAATACACGCGGCAATTGAATTATATTATGGTACATCAAAAAAGAAATAGATTTGTTTATCCCAATGTAAGTGAATGGACGATTCGATGTCATGTGCTGTAGTCTCCATTACAGTGCTCAGCTTATAGAGACGACTTGATGTCCTTGAGTAACTTTATTACGCGGCCTGGTAGGATATAGGTGACATGCGTCAGAGTGTTGATGGGAGGAGTTACTACGTCAATTGAGACAGGTGGGGTAATATACAGGTGTTGGTGAGTGACACACACACACGTACGTGTGATATCTGGCAGCCGGTGGTTAAACCACGGTCGGAGATCGACTTTAACCAGCCAGTCGACTTAACCAGCCATCCATGGGTGGTCGATAAAACTAGCAACACTTTTTGGAAAGTCAACAGAGGTTATCCCTGTGGATGTACTTGTACTTGTCATAATAATGTGGCGTTTGCCGGAGATGACTGACGGCCCATGCATTATTGCACCTTTGAGTAGACAAATCACTTGCGGGGAGGAAGGTGGGGGGGGGGGGGGTTGGTGTAGCGGTCAGCGCGCTGCGCTACGAACTCGGCGACCCCAGTTCGATTCTCACTCACGACCAACACCAGTAACGATTATTTGAACCAATCCCAGGCCTCCGCCTAGGTCAGCCCAGCTTCAAATGAGCACCTGGTGCCGTGTTTAAACGTTGCTACTAGGGAAACAAAGGCGACCGGGCGTGGTGCTGTCCACTCTCGCGATCGTGTGCCGTGCCGGCCTTCATAGGTGCTACTCGCTGACAGCACTTGCCCCAACAGTATGTTAAGGCTATACGGGGGGTCTTTGTCTTTGGTCTTGGATGGTTTGGGGAGGGGGGGAGGCAACTCCCCTTACTTGTTTCCGTGGTCTCGCACTTTGAATGCAATCTGACGGTGACCTTGCTGTTTACAGGAGTGGATTGACTACCGGCTCAAGTGGGACCCGAATGATTATGATGGATTAGACATCGTGCGGCTGCCCTCCAGGCAGATCTGGCTGCCCGATATCGTCCTCTACAATAAGTGAGTATCGACGCGAGTCGCGGCGCGCAAGGTCGACCGACTCCTGGACGCGCCGGCAGTTTGATGCTTTTCATCTCGGACCGGCTCTGTACCAGCGGCAGTGCACGTACGACGTGGTCGCTACGAAGCACACTGGAGTTCGTTTCGGATGAGACTCTTCGCCTCCCCTCCATCCCTGACTCCTTCCCTCCCTCGCCTGCACGGTGCAGGTTACACCATTGGGTCGCGTCACGGTGGTGAGATGTTAACTACCTCGCCAGGTATTGCAGGAGGTCGTGGGTTCGATCCCGACCCTGGCGCCTGTATATTTGGAGTTTGCATGTTTTCCCTGTGGTCGCGTGGATGTTTCTCGGATCCTCCGTTTTTTCCCCTCCACGTGTAGAATCAACATCACGCATTTAGAGTGTTGGGCCTCTATACTTTTCCACGCGATGAGCCACTTCGTTGAGCCGTCACTTGTGATAGCCAGGTGGCTCCTGATAAAGAGCTATACAGCTCAGTTGGCCTTACCTGGTAGAATAAAATGTTTAGTTTAGTCTGCTGATCTTCACACGTGCGATGTTTTCCCCGAGGATCACCATCATCATGATTAGTCACGATAAATGCACCGCTGCATGAAGGCGTCTCCGCGTCCCCACCCCCTAGAGCCGTTGCTAATTCTCACGAACCCGGGTTGCAGTAATCCACGAAGCTCCTGCACGCGAGCTGATTTCATCGCTCCATCTCCACGTCGATACGTGGTGGTGGGTTTTCTTCAAGTAGTTTGGCAAATGTTTATTTCGCTAACAATGAATTGGCCAACGGTCCCCGTGCAGTATCCTTCCGGAAAAGGGTTGGTGTGGGGGGCCCAACGGGGGGAGGGGGGGGGTAGGGGGGTGCAAGAAGGAGAGGAGGATTGGGGGGAGTAATGGGCGTGTTCATGGGTTGTTCCGCAAACCTAGAGAATGATTAGGGGTTAGCGACGGCGGTCAGACCAGGCATTCCGACTGGCCTGGTGGCATTAACCTTTTCCCGCAATTTCACCGCCTCGGTTTTTTCCTACCTTAACAGCAGGACCAGAGCAGCAATGCAGCAGTAATCGTAGTGCTGTAATAATAAAGATAACGCCTCGGGGGAGGGGGCGGGGGGAGCTTACACATTCGCGTGTCTCTGTTCCAGTGCTGACGGCACGTACGAGGTGTCATTTTACTCCAACGCCGTGCTCTCCTACGACGGGAGCATCTTTTGGCTGCCGCCTGCCATCTACAAAAGTGCCTGCAAGATCGAGGTCAAGCACTTTCCGTTCGACCAGCAGAATTGCACCATGAAATTTCGCTCCTGGACCTACGACCACACCGAGATCGACCTGGTGCTCAAGAACGACTTCGCCACGATGGACGACTTCACTCCGAGCGGCGAGTGGGACATCGTGTCCTTGCCCGGCCGCAAAAACGAGAACCCCTCTGACCCCGCGTACGTAGACATCACCTACGACTTCATCATCAAGAGGAAACCTCTCTTCTACACCATCAACCTCATCATCCCGTGCGTGCTCATCACCTCGCTCGCCATCCTCGTCTTCTACCTGCCGTCCGACTGCGGCGAGAAGATGACTCTGTGCATATCCGTGCTGCTCGCTCTCACCGTGTTCCTGCTGCTCATCTCCAAGATCGTGCCGCCCACGTCTCTGGACGTCCCGCTCATCGGCAAATACCTGATGTTCACCATGGTGCTGGTCACCTTTTCCATCGTGACGAGCGTCTGCGTCCTGAACGTGCACCACCGATCTCCGAGCACGCACACCATGCCGAACTGGGTCAAGAAGGTCTTCCTGCACAAGCTGCCCATGCTCTTGTTCATGCAGCGGCCCAAGAACAGCTCGGCACGCGACCGCATGAGACAAAAACATTTGGGCGCCTCGTTCGCGAGCAAGGTGCACGGCGAGGGTGCGGACGCGTGCTTCGTGAACCCGGCGTCCGCCAACAAGTACGGCTTCAAAATGCAGGACCTCTCGGGCCCCTTCCGGAACATTTCCGAGCTGAGGTTCCGCACCTCGTCCAAGTGGACGCCCGAGATGCAGGAAGCCGTGGACGGGGTCAGGTTCATCGCGGACCACACGCGCAGCGAGGACGAAGACCAGAGCGTACGCGCCGCTCGCATACACACCCCGTCGACTCACGTGCACACGTACAGCAGCAGGGTGACCTTGTTTATGGGGGGGGGGGGGGGGGTGATAGAATTGGGGGGAGGGGGCTGAGGTTACAATAGGGGGGGTAGCCCCTCCCTGCCCCAACGCCCACCCCCTCCCCGACGCTTCGGTTCCGTGAGTGGACGAGGCCTCCTCTTCGCCGTTCGGGTAAAGGGGCGGGGTTTTGAGCACAACTTCAGCACGCTGGTCAGCGGCCATTGGCTATTCGTAGGGAGTCACGTGCACCCACGACGTACAATTCTGTTGTTCGCGTGAATCGACACCGTCGTCGATTGCTTACGCAAGCAATTCGTGAGCTTAGAAAGCACGAAATCACCACGAATCGATCAAAGCGTCGTTACTATCCCGCATCGGGCTCTTTTAACACTCGCAGACTCACAATGGTCATGGCTCCCGTCTCCGAGGGCAGCTCCTAAGCTAGTGGCACACATTCAAATTGGGGGGTGCAAGAATATCGAGAAGACCACTACTGTAGAATTATCGCAAATTGATCCCGATTTTGAACACCTTTAAGTGATGATAGGTTGAGGTAACCCCCAACATCTGACCGGTATTTAACCTGGCAACCTTCCAATTGTTGAGTCAAGCGCTCTTAATGAATTTCTGCCGGTTCGCATAAAGTAGTAATTAACACGCGTGACGTTTCACTCTCGCGTTTAACCCTTGGTGTGCTCAACCTGCTTACGGTTTTTAATTCTACCGCATGGCACATTGCACCAAACTAAGTAATTTTTTATCTCATCCGTCGCCATCCTTTTATTAATAATCGTCTTAGAATACAGTGTGGATAAGAGAGCCTCGGGTAAGATACAGTGGTACTTTTTTTACAGGTCTAATAATTTGCGTGTGTGTTTTCACCTCCGATGAGCACGGTTGGTTACGTACGGTGCGAATGAAGTTCAGAATACACGTAGATAAAAAGTGTAGGGCAAGGCAGGCAGTGGAGTGGTGGAGCGGTGGCGTAGTGGTGAGCGTGATCCTTCCGTTAACCCGGCTGAGTTTGATTCGCGGCCACGGCTAACGACAGTGACGAAGTATGGTCAAACAAATCCCTCATCACCAACCCGTCGTGGGGAGGCTTTCACCCAGCAGTCATTTGACAAGGGGCAGTAAATGATTGCATTAAAATGTATTTCATACCAGAAGAAACATTACAAAGTTGCTTAGCGCAGTTGTCAAAGCGTGTAGTATTTATGACGTTACGTCCTCTGACCTGCTGAGAGCGTGAATCGCAGTGCCACATGTTTGGAATACTTCTCTGATGCCAAGAGAACATTCATTGTCAAAGATTGCCAGTGGAGCCTCTTAAGTGCGGTAAGTGGCTACCACTATGTGCGGTCGCCTTTGTCTCCCCAGTACTGATATGTGCACACACATATGTAGCCTGAGTTGACTTAGGGGAGGCCCAGCACCGAATTAAATAATCGCCACTGATGTAAGTCTTTGGCCAGGAATCGAACTCAGAACTCAAGTCGCCAGTTTCGAAGCTCATACGCAAAAAAAGTACACGCACCCACCGTGCAGACATTCATTCTTCCTTCTCCACGAGATCGGTTTCCCTTCTCGTTTTTAATTAAAGGCGACATTTGCGTATAACAATAGCTGGAGTCGAGCATGCCCTGCGAGTGGGCGAAAATACATTTGCAAAGAAATCCCCCAGCAAAGCCTTGATCTTCCCTCAAAGATTGCGCACACGTGCGTGGCTTCATAAGGGGGGCGCGTGCACAGAGGGGGACGACGGGAGGCTGGGCGGTCATGGGGATTTACGGGGGGTGGAGGGGTGTGGATTACAATAGGGGTCATGATTGATTACAGATCAAGGCGGCTTTGCACAGGGTTTGCACGTCCCTAGCAGATTCTCGGAGGCCCATGTGTGTCCATATGTATATCCTCGTACCCTACGCCACGTGACTTGGTTCACAGATGATGAGGATTGTTGAAGTTGCATTTTGAACTTCAGGATGAGCCAAACCTATGACTGAAACCGAACAACCCATGGGCTGTTATTGTCGAGTGTCCACACTCGAAAATGTTGGTTTTCTAATGGTGATTTATTATGAGCAGACTCTGCTATGTGTGGTACATTGTTTGCTCTTTAGCCCTTGACGTCGGTTGCGGTCACCTTCATGTTAGATCAAATAGAACCCCTCCATCTACATATAAAGAGGACTGAACACATTCGCCAATAACACTGTGGCCTTAAAATATATATTGTTTTGAGTCCACTCAATATATTCATCAATAACACAAAACATGGCCGCAGTGTTTATTGAATGTGTTGAGTTTATTGTTAATTGTGCTCCACGACCAACGCAGGAGCATCGTCGAATCACGTGTCACCTGTGAAGAGATTCGGGTCAAAAGGGTAACTCAATGTGATGCAGAAATTCGAGATTTAAAAAAAATATATATTTTTGGGACACACGACAAAAATATATAATCATGGCGCCGGGTATTATGGGAATATTCATGATCCTGTATCAGCCAACAGGGGGCGTTCAAGTTAATAGGCCAGCGGGGTTGATGAGATATAATTGACATGAATGCAGCGAGTATTGAAAATTTTATCTTTGGAGCAAAAGGTTAATGAAATATGTCGATTATGTACTGCCGACCTATCTGGATTGTTAATTATATTTTAACAGCTGCCATTCAAAAAACAACAAAAAACCACAAGTACCTATTTCTCCCCGTATGAAATATCCTCATGATTAAGTTATATAGAATCAGCATTGCATGATTTGAATGAAATATATTTTGGTTAAACCTATATTTAATTTGTGAAACAGTAATTAGTACAAATTGTTATGTCCGTTTATGAACGACGGGCCAAACGTCACCACCCTCAACCAAGTTCGACTTCCATTTTGTCTCGGCTACAGGCGGCCATGTTGGTGGCCAGGATAATGATGGCACCAAAGTTGCGGCATCTTTTTTGTTTTTCTCGCTATCACGGTAAAACTCAGTGATGGCCACCACGTTCTCGTGAGCAGTGAGGCAAAGACAGACTGTGTGCACTGGACCCACCACAGGCTATGGTTGGGTGGCAGACGGGACGTGTCCATACGCCCTTCTGTGTGGCGCTGGTGCGTTCCGCCATGAATTTATGACACGGGTTGAAATTGAAAAGGTCGACCGCGTTTAAAATATTTATACAGACATTGCATGGCAGCGGCGCCACTGTAAATCTAATCTGTGCATAATTAAGTGCAAATAGAATATTTTTTTAAAACATGTGGTGCACTTTAAAAAAAAATCATACCAATGTAAGTACTGAGCCATTGGCGTTTAAGAGAAGCCACGTTGTGCCCATCATACATCCACAGCTTCCTCCATGGCATTTAGCTCATGGAAATATGTTCATGACCTAAATGCCAGTGTAGGTCTGCTTGCCATGAGAGTGCTTCAGGAGAAAGTGTGTGTAGTTATGATATTCCTTTGTTGACAGAGTGGTTTACGATATGATCGATCCACTTCTAGATTGGCATACTTCGTTTTAATTTTATATAGGGATTTATTTGTCTTCAAGATTCCATAAGGTGTATGGGAAGAATCCAACATGAGGCTCGGAGTAAAACTATGGCACCCTGTAATATATATTGTCGACACAGCACTTTTCACAGGCTAAACAAACACAATATCCACATATTTAGAATAATTACGAAGGGAGACAACTTTCACATTATGGAATTAAAACGAGTATGACTGCTGAACTTCAGTCGATGGTTCCACATTAGAGATTACTTTTAAATCCAACGAATCTTAATCGCCTTTGAAGAAAAACCATTGCACATTGATCAGAATAATTCGACCCATAAAGTTAATTACGGAACCACCATTTACTCATGTAAAGGTGGAACAGTGTTCAGCACACTGCCCTGTGAAGCTGGCCATCTGAGTTCGATATCTGCCCACGGCTAACATCAGTGGCGAGTAATATCTGAACCTACACTGGGCATCCTGCTCACAACCCCAGATTGACCAGTATGGTGAAGTATGGTCAAACAACCTGCATGAGCAACATGACATGGGGAGACCTTCATCCAGCAGTGGATTGACAAAGGGATTGCATCCACTCACGTATCAGAACACAACTTTGCTTTGTAAAACAATAATCCAAGTCTAAACTGAGTGGGCTTTTGATTGGAATCACTTTTATCTACATTCACCACATCATATGCAACGTCTTTCAACTAAACATGGAACGTTGATTCAACGTTTCCAACCACATGTCGCCCGTTGGCCCAACGTCACGCGATTGCCAGGTACGTTATTCTCTTTGTTCTCATTCTTCTGCGCAGGTGATCGAGGACTGGAAGTACGTGGCCATGGTGATCGACCGCCTCTTCCTGTGGATATTCGTGGTGGTGTGCGTGGTGGGGACCGTGGGCCTCTTCCTGCAGCCGCTGTTTCAGAACTACACGACCCCAACCATCGCTTAGCTATTAGACAGACGGGGTGGTGGTGGTGGTGGTGGGGGGGGCTTCACTCAGCAGCACACAACAGCCGTCCCATAGCCGCTCTCTCCCGACACGTTTGCAAATGACTGAATTGCCCATAATATACCAAACGCCACTTATACGTTTTATGTATATGGATATATTTGTAATCACTTTACATTTCTCTAAACCCAGCTTTACATAAAAGTTACAAAAAATAAATTCATGTAAGCTACACAAATTACGAGCGTACCACGTGGTATATCGTGTTTATTGAACTGCCGAGACAAAATGTACTTCTTACAGCGGTTTCAATTGTAATTTTATGTACATTTACTTTTAAAGTGCAATCACTTATTTTGTACAGTTTATAACAATATATGCATATATTTAAAGCTGTGGTTTAATCAGAAGAGATATACCATGGTAATCATAAAAATTGCAACAATTAACGACAACTGAATAGAACATATAATGAACAAGCATCTTAGATCGTCTCGAAAGCTATTCTGGATACTGTCAAACGCGCCACTGGTATAAAAATATAAAATATACAACTAACGGTATAGTAACGGTACAATACTAATTGCCTTGTCCAAACTTCTCTCGGTTGTTCCTGTGCTCGAAACACGCACATCTGACCCATGCCAGTGTGAAGTCGTTTTTTTGTGTGTTTGGTCTAACAAGGCGCTCGTGGTGAGACTCGTGAGGAAGAAGCCGATATCGTGATCGCACCCTGAGCGGCCTCTGAACGCCGGCACGAGCTGACACTTTCAGCAGAGAGTCATAAATAACTCGAAGCAAACCACCACTCTCATTCCCGCCACACTTGGTGTGTCTAAACACACCACCGTGTGTGTGTGTCTTTGTATATACAGCGAGCCTTCGAGATGTCACGTGGTCCTCAAAGTGCACCTGGCCTGGCACAAGCGCCGTGGTGTTGTCACCCACACTTAGTGGCGAATGGCGGGTGTTGTGGTTAGAAATAACGTACATGCTTGCATGTCCTTTACACACATGCTGGGGACAATTTCCCGCTGGATATTTTACCGGACAATGCTGCTATGGCTGGCTTGAACTAGGGAATCGTCCATTTAAGGCACTACCCAGCACTGCATTCATATAATCATGGTGATGAAAGAATCGTTGTGATCAACGTATCGTGGTGATAGAGAAAGGAGAGATGGATGTCCGCAGCACTCATCCGGACTGTTCCGGCTAAGCTGAAGCACTCCACACAGCCGCATTGCACGTGACCCGCTCCTCTCCGCTGCTGGATGAGAGACTTTCCAAGCAGCTGGGGGCATGGGAGGGGTGGTGGCTTTAAGACCATACTTCACCACACTTGTGAAGTTGGGGGGGAGGGGATAGACGTTGGAGCATACAAGTACAGCACAACAATGGATGTTTTCTGCACTGCCCTCTGCTGCCCACAACGTAGCCTCCCTGCACATTGCACAGACGTGAGCACAAGCACGTGGGGCCGCATCCTCCTTATCATCTGATAAGAGGCCGTAATTGTTTGAAATTCAGAAACAATGTGCCATTTTCTTTCAAACGTGCGTTGTGAGATGCGCATGTAAACTGGCATTTGAGAAAGAAAACAAAGCTTGCAGTTGAAATTCCACGTTATTGTGACGAGGGCATGTTCATCCATAGGACAACTAGTGTTGAATTTTCAGAAAGGTATGATGCCTTCCCTTGGCGGTACAGTACTCATATTTTTGACCCTTGAGGGATGATGATTGTGATAAGGCTGAGTCGATCATGGCAGAAATTTGAATGCGTGATCCAAATAATTGGGAGCCCATCCGCTCTGTACTGAGCTCTGTTATAAACCGGATACTTTACTATAACTAGAGGGATCGCGTTGGCATCGGGAATGATCCATTGAAGGAAATACAACGGTGGCACATACTAGTTTATATGCAGCGTTATGTTCTCGGTACACGTCACTTCTCATGAAATGTACACGGACGCGTGGCGAATTCCACCTGCAATGGTCATCGGAGCAGGTGCACACTCAGTGTGGCCATTGGCGTAGCTGTCGAGTGTGCAGGCGGTGCAACTGCACCGGGACTCGTGGCCCATGCACCGGGCTATGGAGGGGAAATTGTACAGTGGCCAACCCTATTTAATTCCTTGCACGGGGGCCCATGCCAACTGGTGGTGGTGGTGGTGTGGATTTTATGACTTTCATGACATCACCGCGGGTGGGTAAGTGAAGAAGAGCGATAACGTGATTAAAAGCACACGCAACTTAATACATGATGTCATGCAACGTGCAGGTCTCGTGTGGTGGGGTAAAGTGTGGGATACTTAGAACTCTTTTAAGATGCTTGATGGAAGAGTAGGCCAAATATCCCTCTTTGTAGAATGGCATGAACAAGCAATTGCAGTGCTGCACCTTTACAATTTACACTCCGTCAAGCAAGCGTAATGAAGAGCCGAGAGTTTGACTCTGGTCTGGGTAGAACTCGTTTTACAATAAATGAATTCCACAGTCGAGCTTATGTTAAATTGCCTCTTTGATGTTGATGGTGGCTGATGAGATCCGCTGATTATACGAAAAGGTTATGTGCATTGTGGATACGTATGGGCGGCCTCCATTAATCAAATTAAGGCAATTAACTGTGGATTAAAATGTGTAATAATTTACCCTGGAAAGACAGAGCAATGTGTGACTATCGCACATGGGCGCTGTTCATGGTCCTGGTTTTCCCGGACTGCACAATTGTTCTGCTGCGATGGACATTTCTCGCGAGAAACAAGCTTGGTCGCACACAAACGTGCGACTCCTACCGCACCGCCCTTCATCGCTCAAATCATACATCGTGATAGATGCAGGAGAAGCACTGCTAAGTGGAGCGGCGACGCAGTGGTTAACGAATCCCGGGCCACGGCTTTAACGTCCGTAGCAAGGGGCTATCTGAAGAGGTCCTTGGGCACTCATTTCACCAAGCTGCACTGACCAGCGTGGCAGGGTCCGGTCAAACACCCTCCCCCCCCACCCCCACCTTGACTGAAAGGCGAGGGGAGGAGGCCTTCATCCAGCAGTGGATAGAGTTGCTGTGCTTTGCAACCCATTGCAGGTGGCACACACGCTCTGAGCTGCAGCATCGACGACGGAGCAGAATCATGTGTCTGGTTATCGCTTGATGTGTCCTGTATTCAATCACCTGAGGTCTCATTACGATTAATTATGATTCAACTGTCCAAGGTACACGTGGTCGATCAACGCACAGTTGTTTAGTGACGTTGGGTGCACAGTTGTGATTTCCTCGCAATGCACGCGGATTATTTATTCCTGCCTGCCCCAAAATGAACACGTGGATGAAGGCTCCCAATGTGTTGCGTCGTTCAGGCATGGGAACGGCCCGAAATCGTTAAACCCCATTAATAAACAGAGTGTGAGACTGGCACACTGACAACTGCTGCCCGACCTACGACCCCGTGTCATTCGATAAGATGACGACACGAACAACCACGATTGAAATTGCTACCATTTGCCGAGCAATTTCATTTTACCCCTTAAGTAGTGGCTTCGCGTGGCTGGCCATGGGGCCATGGTGCAAATGATGAAAGGGGCCCCCTCCCTGTCATAAACAAACCAACACTCATTGCTTGCAAAGGAATGGAGCAAACATCCCAATCTAAGGCCGTCCTTGAAATACTTCTTGATGAATAAAAAATACAATATCTTAAATTCCCGCTAACAATGACAGCAGGGTTCACTTATAACGCTACATCGTAGTGATTGTTTGCTCCTGTGTGGTGGAACTTTTTAGTCAAATCAGGGATTAACGGAAATGCCCTCCGTCACTTTTCACGACGATTGTGCTATTCAAATATTTCCACTTCAGCGGACCGTTCGCAACACTGGGCAGGCTGCGGAGACGGAAGGTTTTGCGCATCGCGTTATTATTGGTGAGTCTGTGGCCGACGCGTTAGGGCAGTGGTTCTTAACATTTACTGCAGCCTTGCACCCCTTTGGTTCTTCATCTTTAAACAATATAATGTTCATAAATACATAGGCTTGATGAAACAAAGGAGTTGTACTTACGTGCCCGTGCTTAATTTGTCTTTCGATTATTTACCTTCCAAAAAAAAAATCGGGCATGTCTCGCACGCCCAGGGGGTGCGTGCACTCCAGATTAAGAACCACTGCGTTAGGGTGTTGCGTGATAGTGTGTACGATTTAGTGTGCGTGGGGGTGATGGTGTGATGGGATGATGGGGTGATGGGCGAGCGTGTCGTGGGTGATTGAAGAAAGGCCGGTGGTGGGTGAAGGTCTGAATGTTGTGCGCGATGATGAGTGAGTGGGCGCGGAGTGTGTGGTGACTGACGGTGGATGCACTGCGGGGCGATGGTGTGTGGAGAGCAGGGTGAGTTTAGCAGAGCTACCTTGTAAATGGAGCTGCTGTGAACCAGTTTCCACCAGGTTCACGGTTCGATTTCGAGTGCAGTCGCCGGGTTAATTCTAAGGGAATGACCAAAGCACTGCTTCTCAAGAGAACGTGATACATTAGGTGACATTCACGAGAAGAGAAAGGCATGTACTTTAAATATAAAATCACCGGGAGCCACGATGTAAAAACAACACAAAAATCCCAGTTCGTATTTGTGTACATATACTGTACACACCCGTTTGTGAATCTACTGTCAGATAAAATAACTGTCTCGTGTCGTGTTGTTTCATGGGGGATATTTTACCATACTTCCCCACGCTGGTCAGTGCGGTGGTTGCGGACATCGGGGAAGGGAGCGGGGTGTGGGGGCGCAGATACGCTGGGACATATAAGTGCAGTACAACGATTGATTTTGCTGCGCACTGCCCCCCTTGCCGACAGCGCAGCCCCCCGCAGCGGACTACGGACACCAGCCCCCCCCCCCCCCCCGCATGGCTTGCGAGCTCTGTGACGAGATCGGTCGCGTTGCGGGTAATTTGGTTTGTCCAGGGTCCCAGCCCCCCCCGTGTAATTTACTCAACGCCTGCGTCGCGCGCCTCCCCTGCCGAGCACGGGCAGTAAATCTCCGCGCGTTCGCTGTCCCGCTGGTTACATAAACGCAATTGGATTAAATTTGTACTGGGTGGGGTGGGGGGGGTCGGGAGTGGGGCTCTCAGAGGTCCCGTGCCATAAGGGGGCGGTTGGCGGTGTTTGCTGCTTCGCCAAGAGTGAGTTGCGAGGGGAGGGGGGGTGAGTGCGTACGTGCGTGTGGTGAGCGTTGTTTTGGTTTCCTCTAGTCGCGCGCGTTGCTTGTGGGATGTGGGGCGTGTGTGTGTGGTGAGGCTGGTCTCGAAATGCGTGGTGAGGGTGTTGCTCTAGGATGCGCGGAATGGTGAGGCTGTTCTTCTAAGTTGTGCCGGGGTGGTGAGGGTAATCTAGGAATTGGGGCAATTGTATGATTTTCAGATTTCGAAATTCGTGCCCTGTGTTGTCAGGGTCTTGTTCAAGGATATGTGGTGAGTGTGGGCTTTTTGTTTCCATCGGATGGGTGGTGTGGCGGGGTGAGTAAGGGAGGGCGGGGGGGTGAGCGGTGTGCGATTGCGCGATGAGTGATTCTCTTGCACGAGGCACGGGTGTCCACCAGGGTGGTGAGTGGGGGGGGGGGGGGGGCCCCGAGGTGAGTTGCCTCTCCCGGAGGGGGTTGTGGGGGGGGTGCGCTCACTCTGGCTGGCTGGGCTAGGTGAGTGGCGACGCGGGGGGCCACGGGGCTCATGGGGTGCGGGGCTTGCGGCGGAAGAGAGCATCGCGCTCATCCTCATCACCCCCCCCCCTCCTGCTCCAGCTTCCACGAGCGATCGCATCCCCTCCATCACTCGACCCGGAGGGAGCCAAGGGCGAGCGAGGGAGCCTCGCGTGTTTTCTCCCTCCTCCTCCTCCGGCTCACGCAGCGCACGATAATCCCGTCGACTGGACGCTATTAATATTATTCCAACACAATTCTGCCACCGACATTCACATTCGGCGTCGCGTGCTGCCCACCCGCAGGTCGCCGGTGTCTCGCCGTAATCAGCGCGGGCGTTGCATCCTCTATCCCGCCTCCGTGTCCTCCTCCTCTTCCTCCTCATCCCCATTCTCTTCCTCCTCCTCGGATTCTTGGCCGCTGCGTCCGCCGAAGCGCGGGTGAGGATGACGGCGCTGGCGCGAATGGCAGCAGCGACGCTCTGCTTGCTCGGCTGCACGTTGGATGGTGAGTGACAGCACACCGCACGCAGCACCGGAACGTTTTGATTCGTTCCCCGACGGCAAAGGTTTTTTTGTTTTGTTTTAGGTTTTCTTACATCGTTCCTCGTGCCGTTCTTCGCGTCGTTCGGGTCCCGGCTGTGTTTCATGCTCTCAGCTCGCTCTCCCAGTCTGCTACCCCCGTGGCCTCTGCGCATCGCACTCTCGTCGCGCGCGTCGTGCGCGTCCGTGGCCCGGTTACTGTTATTTGCATTGGGGGCGGGGGGGGGGTGTTAGCTAAGGTGGTCGATGTCTAAAAAAATTTAACCGCGTTCACAAATATCGTAACGAGGGGCGCTGTGAAGCGTGGCTTGTGAGCGTCGTTACGTTAGTGTCCTTGTGATGGCGTGCACGCTTCGTGGAGCGATGTCCGCAGCTGTCTCGGACGGATCCGCTTCGAATCGTCTCCGTGCATAACGCGCAATGAAACCCGTGGCACGCGTGGTACGCGTGGGGGCGGCGGTGGGAGAGGGGGGGGCATATTTAGCTTCGAAATAATCGTATCGGGGGGGGGGGGGGTGTACGGAAGGTGGGCAGGTGGAGAGCAGTCGAAGGCAGGTGCTCGCTGAGCCGTCCTCCGCATGGAGGTTTCTCGCGGGATGTTTACGAAATGACAGTCGATGCTTGTGACGCGCGCACTTACGTAACTGTTACGAGCGGCGACGAGAGAGAGAGAGAGTTAACGACTGGCGTTCGTGTGCGGGCCGTGCGTGCACGCCACGCGGCGGCTATCGCTGTGGCATCGTGTGCACGCGACCGCACGCGAATGAATTGAGAATGCGTGAATTGTGATTGTGGGCAATGCAGTAGGCCTTGCAGAATACGCAGTTAGGTCATTTGTCGCTTTAAAAAAAAACCTGGTGAGATGAGAATCCATGGTTTGCTTTCAACTCTCGCTAGCAACCCGGAAATTTAATTTCTACTCACAGACACACAACATCCAGTATCTCTCTCTGTCTCCGTGACGGTGGCAGTCAGTCACAGGCCTATTGAGGTCAACCAGCTACCCAGGAAATAAGCAATGGGGAAATTAATGCCCCGGATGAAATCAAGGGGACAGTATTTTTCAAGGTAGACATGAGTCACGACACCAGTTCAGTTTAAAAACAAAAGGAAATTTAGGGTTAAACAACAGCGACTACAGAACTAGAACTGTGAAGGAACACAACACAGTTACGATGTAGGGGGATGGGGTGGGGGTTATGTCACTGTCCAATTCAGTGTGAAACTTGCCACCTGAGTTTGATTTCCGGCCACAGTTAACACCGGCGGCGAGTAATGTCTGAACCATGTCCTGGGTTCCGGCCATCACAACAGCAACAACGGACAGCCGCCATTCGCCATCCACAAAGTGACGGTGACGTCACCACGGCGCTTGTGACATCACACACACGCCAGCGTGACGAAGCACGTGTCAAGTAACCCACAAAGGCACGTGGGGAGGTCTTCGTTCAGCTGTGGATGGAAACAGAGCAGCAACATTATTGCGTTCTATAAAGCCTGCAATGGGAACTTATGTCGGTGAGATGCATTGCATGATCTGTGTGCGCTGGTGCAGGGTGCTGGGCATCAGAAGCCGCGAGTCGTCTCTACAAGACTCTGTTCGCGAGCTACAACCCTTACATCCGACCCGTGTTCAACGTGTCCGATCCGGTCATCGTGAGATTTGAGGTGTCCATGTCACAGCTGGTCAAGCTGGTGAGTACTCACAGCCGATCATGTCCATTTATTTAGTTTTTTGTTGTACAATCTCATGGCACTTGACTTGCTGTGCGTCGACGAGGAGGGAATACGCATGAGAGGACGTCCACAGAAGAGGTGGAGCAGTGAATTCGTCTCGTGTGCTGGTGCTCGATAGAGTGTGAGGTTGCAGGCCTTCGAGAGATGGTGATAGGTGAGGGAGGTCTTCGCCCAACAGTGAGGGCTTATTTAATGCACTGCTGGATGAAGGCCACCATTTTATCTTGGAATTTCACCACATTTGTTAGTGCTGGTTGGTGATCAGCGTGGGGGGGGGGGGGGTGCAGGACTGGTTCAGATATTAGTCGCAAATTCGCATCGCCCTAGTTCATAAAGCAATGCACGCGTCACCACTCCAACCCAACATGCTTATTTTCATCTCATCTCTAAAGTACACAATCAACTGGCCGAAAATTCATGTCACGTTTCGTTGTTGTACGTGCAACGTCTGAACATTCGAGTGGGCCTGTTCCCTTTACAGGATGAAGTGAATCAAATAATGGCGACAAACCTCTGGCTTAAACACGTAAGTCTCTTTCCGCGGTGAGCGTCATATATCTGTACGGACAATACATTTTCAAAGTGAAATTATAATGATGATAATGGTTACTCCCGCCAACCTGATGTTGGGATATTCCCAGGAAACGTGGACATTTGGGCCAACGTTGGGCCAACGGTGGCTCAACTGCTCCAACCAAATGTGAACATTGGCCTAACCTTGCAACATTAATTGGGTTGTACTTTCGATGGGCCAATTCACTGTTCACGCGGTATAACACGTTCATGTCGCCATATTTACAAAGTCGCGTACGTTCTAAAACGTTGTTCATGTGCGCACGCTGCCTGTTTTAAAGGGGTAAGTTAATTAATATCTGTCGGTTGTTAAAACCGAAAAAAAGAAGAAGAGGGTTACAACAGCCAAGATGCTCACCCTGGCGCTGAAATATTTATTTCTCAAAACGTTTCGACCGCCCATCGAAAGAAAGCAATTAATACCGCGACTTGCGTTGTTCCGCACGGACGGCTTGAAATTGGTATCTTGCAAACGATGTCGGCAAATGTAATCGAGACGCTCGTAACCACGGTCTCCATCGGACTGTGCACTTCTACGGTGCGTCATTGTGCTTCATTTATCTCTGTTCGTTGCAGACTTGGAATGACTACAAGTTCCAGTGGAACCCTGGTCAATTCGAAGGCATGGAGTACATCCGAGTGCCGTCGGACAAGATCTGGAAGCCAGACATCGTTTTGTACAACAAGTAAGGCCTCTGTTATTCGTTTTGACGTGATACCCAAATGTCGCCGTAAAGCGGGGAATTGTTGATGTATTGGCTTGCCTGGCAGACACTGCATCACGTCAATGCGTGTCGATCGATGCAATTTATGTCACGGGAAGAGAACCCGCTGAAGTTCGTAATATTTTCAAGTTTTCTTGTGGCAAAAATGGGTTATCTTCAAGTCAATGTCTTGCAAATAAATTCAAGTGCATGTCTTGCCAAAAACATATGAAAGATATACATAAAATGTAAACGTCCACCGTCATTCTAACCCATATAATCTAAGTATTATATTGCCATGTTTTCTTTGTTTGTTTACAATAACCCTCCTCGACAGCGCGGACGGAGACTTCCAAGTGGAAGGCAAGACCAAAGCTCTGCTCAAGTACGACGGCACGGTGATGTGGATGCCGCCGGCGATTTTCAAAAGTTCGTGCAAGATCGACGTCACTTACTTCCCCTTCGACTACCAGAACTGCACCATGAAGTTCGGCTCTTGGACCTACGACAAGGCCAAGATCGACCTGGTGCTCGTCGGCACCAAGATCAACCTCAAGGACTTTTGGGAGAGCGGAGAGTGGGTCATCATCGACGTCCCAGGCTACAAGCACGACATCAAGTACAACTGCTGCGAACAGATATACCCGGACATTACCTACTCGGTGTACGTGCGGCGCCTTCCGCTCTTCTACACCATCAACTTAATCATCCCCTGCCTGTTGATCTCATTCCTGACCGTCCTGGTTTTTTACCTCCCCTCCGACTGCGGCGAGAAAGTGACACTGTCCATCTCGGTGCTGCTGTCTCTCACCGTGTTCCTGCTCGTCATCACTGAGACCATCCCGTCCACGTCACTCGTCATCCCGCTCATCGGCGAGTACCTCCTCTTCACCATGATCTTCGTGACCCTCTCCATCGTCATCACCATCTTCGTGCTCAACGTGCACTACCGCACGCCCGAGGCGCACACGATGCCCAACTGGGTGCGCCGAGTTTTCCTCGACACGCTGCCCAAGATCATGCTGCTGCAGCGACCCAAGGCCTCCGAGGGCACGGCGGCGTCGCCCGACGCGGTCCTGGCAGAGGCCGACCAGCAGCCAGCGTGCCTCTGCGCCGGAGAGCTGCTGTCGTCGTCGGCGGCAGCGAGCGGCAGCAGCTGCCACAGCGGCGGCATTTCGAGGGCCTCCAGCTCCGTGGACGCGCCCGTGTCGTCCGTGCGGCTGCCGAGGCTGCGCGCGGCTGACGTGATGTCGGACGAGCTGTCCAGCTCGTCCAGCACGGAGTCGCTCGACGCGCTGCTCGCCCTCTGCCTGCTCTCGCCCGAGATCCGCCAAGTGATCGACAGCGTCAGGTACATCGCCGAGAACCTGCGGACTCAAGACGAGGCCAAGGAGGTGATTGGATGCGTCCTTTAAATGTGTTTTTTTTTGTTATGGATGGAAATGTTTTTTTCATTTTTTCAGTTCCAGTTTCATTTATTAGGTAACAAACAAAAACATGAACAAGAAACATCTTAAAGTGACTACACGCAACAGAAAAATCGAGGAAAGAACAGCAAAGTCTTCAAGAAAAAACACCGTATATCAACGCTTTTTTTGCGCGAAGTGCATCTGTATTATTGCGGATAACTTTGCAAAAGCAAGTGCGTTGCTGTATATAGTTTTACTACTACCATATATATCCTCTATAGTCCTGCCTTTAGGCCTGCGACAGTCTACCGGCAACCCACAAACTAAATATTCTGTAAATACCAGTAACGCGGCTTGTGTGGCCATACTTCACCATTGTGGTCTGTGTGAGTTGGTGAAGGTAGGTGGCCTAGCATAGTTTCAAATATCACTCACTGCTGATGTTTATCGCGACCAGAACTCAAACTCTGTTCGCAGGGTTCACACCGCATTGTGTTAACCACTGCGCCACCACTCTCTGGCATTACCATTCATTTTGGTTATATCAGCACCTCATGGGACAGCTGTTAATTGTTACAATGTCACATTGCTTAGAGGAGAACAGGTGCTAATATTAGAGCAGAATAAATACACGTGCGTACACAAAACAGAGATTTCACTTTTGAACCTTTGCCTCTTCCTAAAAAAAAAACAAATGCAGCGCACGAAGCCATATCATCGTGCAGCCGTGATGTTGCGAGACCGTTGGTGAACTCCATCCCTCTGTATGCCGGTTCTGTCTCTCTCTCTCTGCACGTGTGTGTGTGTGTGAGCGCAGGTGTGCGACGACTGGAAGTATGTGGCCATGGTAGTGGATCGCATTTTCCTGTGGGTCTTCGTGCTGGTCTGCATCCTCGGCACGGCTGGGCTCTTCCTGCAGCCGCTCATGGCTGGGGAAGACATGTGAAGAGAACGGCGACCGTACCAAGCTCCCCCCCCCCCCCCCACCAAAACAGAAGTGCCCTACGACTCCATCCCTTGACCTCTGAACTCACATATGCCTTTGAAAGTGCATCATTAGCGGCGGCACGAGCAATCGATTCTAGCCCCCCCCCCCTTTATTTGTATTCGCCAAGCCCTCATTTAAGGCATCTGGCCAATGTGGACTAGTATGCTAATTACCCTCGAGAGGAGCTCTAATAGTGGAGTCCCTTCCGCTGGCAGTGGCAATAAGCAAGTGATTGCAGGGCTGCACCTTTACCTTCAAACATCTTTTCATCATCTCGTCGGGATGGGGTGGGGGGAAGGGGGGCAGCAGGGGGTGGGTGGGGGGGGTCATAGGTCACCGCATGCACTTAGTGCTGTTGTCATGCCCGAGTTGAGACGGTGGGAAATAAGATATCCTGATTCACAGCGAGAACATGCCCAAACGTCAAACCAGCATTGGGTCTCCACTGCTCACGTACATTATCGAGGGTCCTAGCCTGGCCACGGATGCCTGCGCAGAGACAAAGCAACAAACTCGATCAAAACATCTTGTTTATGCGTACTGCATCATCCTGTTCAATGCACATACGGGGGCTTAACGTCCACGTTGGTCGGCGTGCAGTCAGTGTTCGTCACTCGCTCGATGTGGTCTTCTTTGCCGTCCGACGTGGGTTCTCAGCGTTGCGCCACTGTTCTGCCGCGTGCCCGGGGGTTTTGTGAAGTGTGCGCCGTCTCCGTGTCCACGCCCGGCACAAAGCACCCGCCGAAGTCAGGCCTAGTTCCCCCGCCTCTGTGGTCCTGTCTCGAGGCCTGCGTCAGTCGACCAGCGACCGACAAACGAAATATTCCGTGAGACATTCAGCCCCGCGCGTGTGTGTGTGTACGTGTCTACATGGGGGGGGGGGGGGAGTGGTAGTGTAGCGGTTAGCGCGCTGTGCTACAAACCCAGCGACCCGAGTTCCATTCTCCCTCACGGCCAACACCAGTGCCGAATATTTGAACCAGTCCTGGGCCACCCCTAGGTCGACTCAGCCTCAAATGAGTTCCTAGTGCTGTGTGGAAACAACGCCACTGAGGAAACAAAGGCGGCCGGGTGTGGTGTTGGCCACCCACCCTCTGGTGTGCTGTGCCGGCTTTCATGGGTGCTCTCTAACACCACTTCCTCCTACATCCTGTTAAGGCTACACGGGGGATCTTTGTCTTGTCGACATAATCCGGCTGCACGGCATACCGTTTGTGAGAAATTGATGCCAAACGTGGCGCGTAAATGTCAACTAAAATGCTCTGTCCCAGGAAGGCACGCGTACACGAGCGCGGTGTTTATTCAATGCTTTGTTTGTGCCCCACAGATTTAGATTATCAGGGGAAAACCAAAGCAAACGGATTGCGCATGCATTATATCGCAGAGTAACAACTAACGTTATCGCTTTTCGAAGGCACATGCAGATACAATCACTCCTTATGAACACGTGGTTTTTAGATAAGCCTTCATTGATCACAAATGTTCATTAGCTCTGAAGAGTCAGGTGCCTCCTAATAGCCCATTTGATTGTGTTCTTACATGTACCGCTTTGCATTCATCAGTGGTCGGACAGCTTCAATTATGAGGCTTCCGTATCAATTGTAGAGGCGTAAACACCCCACGGAGGCCACATTTATTCATGCTACTTCCAAGTAAATAAAAACTAAAATTACCAGGGCCATGAAATCAATTACATTTTCACCTCTCTATCCAAATATCCACACTTCATTACAGCGGAGCAGTAATAGGGTTCATTGTAACCTTCGAATATAAAAAATAAAATTACATCTTGATTCTCACACACACATCTATACTGTATACATATCTACCTACATATGCATTGCTTAACAATCACTCACTGGTGGAAGTCGAGCTGGGAGTTTTATAAATAAGGAGGGCAGACGCACACGCGGTCACATTCAGCGTTGTGGGATGCTGTTGGCATGAATGACGCTCTATAAAATTCAAGTATTATTATTCATAGATAATACTTGTCTGTATAATATGCTTGTTATATAGCCTATGACCAAATCGTCCGGCATGTGTCCGATCCCATTAAATCTCAAAGGCTAAGCAGGTCTCAACCTGGAGAGTGCTTGTATGGGTGACTGTCATGCACACACCGGTAGGGTTCGAGGGCGACATTGGGGTGGGGTGTGGGTGCGGAGGTCTAGAAGGCAGTACAAAAAACCATACATATACTCCTCTACTTATGGACATTAGACTTACGAACTTTCAGAGATACGAACAAACGTGTCCGTATGTCCAGTCGCCGCTTCGGACCGAGAGTCGTAAGTTCAACCGCCGCTCAATATAGGGCGGTGTTGGCATCTACATGTGCAGAACCTGAAGTTCCAGTGGCATCTACATCTGCAGAACATGAAGTTCCAGTGGCATCTACATCTGCAGAACATGAAGAACCAGTGGCATCTACATCTGCAGAACATGAAGTTCCAGTGGCATCTACATCTGCAGAACATGAAGAACCAGTGGCATCTACATCTGCAGAACATGAAGAACCAGTGACATCTACATCTGCAGAACATGAAGAACCAGTGGCATCTACATCTGCAGAACATGAAGTTCCAGTAGCATCTACATCTGCAGAACATGAAGTTCCAGTAGCATCTACATCTGCAGAACATGAAGTTCCAGTGGCATCTACATCTGCAGAACATGAAGTTCCAGTGGCATCTACATCTGCAGAACATGAAGAACCAGTGGCATCTACATCTGCAGAACATGAAGTTCCAGTGGCATCTACATCTGCAGAATATGAAGTTCCAGTAGCATCTACATCTGCAGAATATGAAGTTCCAGTGACATCTACATCTGCAGAACATGAAGTTCCAGTGGCATCTACATCTGCAGAACATGAAGTTCCAGTAGCATCTACATCTGTAGAACATGAAGAACCAGTGGCATCTACATCTGCAGAACATGAAGTTCCAGTGGCATCTACATCTGCAGAATATGAAGAACCAGTGGCATCTACATCTGCAGAACCAGTGGCATCTACATCTGCAGAACATGAAGAACCAGTGACATCTACATCTGCAGAACCAGTGGCATCTACATCTGCAGAATATGAAGAACCAGTGGCATCTACATCTGCAGAACATGAAGAACCAGTGGCATCTACATCTGCAGAACATGAAGTTCCAGTGGCATCTACATCTGCAGAACATGAAGTTCCAGTGGCATCTACAGGAGATTATACAACTTTTAAAGCCAGTTCCCGTGTTTAGTGTACACGTAGTACAACATGTTTGGAATCGACGTGAGTAAAATTGGACTTCCGAACAAACCTCTGGAACCCAACTCGTTCGTAAGTAGAGGAGTCCCTGTACATTGTTGTACTGTACTCACGTGCTGCCATGTTCATGCTCCCCACTTTCACCAACTGGCACTCGCCATCGTAATTTCGCATGGTCAACTAACCTCAAATGATCCACACCGCGTGGGGAGGCCCTCATCCAGCAGTTGATTTACAAAAAGGGCTGTGCGTGTATGTGTTTATTTATAGATCATATACCAGTACGTTGCTAAATCGGTGGGTTAAGTCATCAGACTGTGTGCGTGAGACAGTTGCATATTAACAATACAAATAATACACCACTCCCTCCTTCTGTGTTGTGGGATGTTCTCCTTAACCCATGATGCGTATCGGTTTATTGTTCTGCAGAGGTGGCCACCCCTGGACACATTTTTGTCCGTTCGAGAAATGCAAAAATGTGGCGTGAGGACGCATTTTGGGATCGCCTGTGAGAGACTCTACGTTTTTGTGTTGAAGTCGGGAACTCTGCTGTGAATATTCATTGGCAAAATATATAAATCTGTGGATACGAGCTGAGAAAGGATTTCTGATTAAATTGCGGCGTGTTTTGTAGGCAACACTGAACTATAAAATGTAACGGGCCCATTTTCCAGTGTTCTCTGCTTGTGTGTGTGTCTGTGCGTGTATAGTTTATGTTCACAATGCTAATGACAGGCTGCCCTTTAATACGTCTCACAAACCCACCCCGCTGAACTGCACTGCACCACATACACTCCGGCTCTACGTGTATCACTCGCTCATTCAGGCTCCCGCTGCGAGACGAGAAAGGGATTGGGCACCCTCTCTGCTACAGTTAAGAGCCAGTGGTGTATGGTGTGGTCGGCATGGGACGTGGTGCAAATAATTACATGGGCCCCCCCGTTCAACCTCTGCTCTCTTTGCTTAACCCCTGCGCTTTGGTGTCCCTCCGATCCGTGGGCTCTGGTGCAGTCACACCGCCTGCACACACGATAGCCATGCCACCGATAAGTGCATGCACTGCTATATCCGATACTCTATATTATGTCTGTTTTACTGCTGCCACTTTCAATTTTTTTACACGCTGTTCCAATATATGTTTAAGATAACTTCGCCTTATTTTTGCGAGTGCAATTCCACTAAAAATGCAATTATGGTCGTATTCTAAAACACAGCATTAGCTGGCAATTGAACTATAGCACCGCAGGCAAATGTATTAGTCTCCATGGTCCGCATTTAAGGAGTGTTTTTTCCACATTGAATGCAATAGTGACATTTTGGGATTTAACAATCGGAACACCTTGCGAAAGGGACTTTAAAAGAGGTCAAGCGCAAAGTGTTATTTGGAAATCAATTGCTGCAGGGCAGACTGTGACTGACTCCCGTCATGAATTATTCACGATGCCCTCTTTGTGTGGCAAAAAGGTGGCTGGCACCTTCACAGAGCGTATGCCTGCAGCGGCTGAATCAAGTTAAACAGAAATCAAAGGCATTTATTTAAACTCTTTTTTTATTCTGTATTGTTATCTAATTTTACCGGCGTTTGCTTTGCTGCGCTATATGTTTTGTGTTTGTAAATATTTTCTAAATCCCTAGGTCGTGTCGCACTTTAATCTTCCTTGTTGCAATGTCTGGTATTTTTCAGCAATTATTCATGGTTATTATTTGAATGTTCGGAAATACATAGCGTTAAAACGAGTATTATGATTATGCTCTCCTTGGTCGGAATATAAACTTTAGTAATGTTAGTACTGCACGGTGTATTGGTGGATTTGTTTGTGAGACGCTCAGAACTGGTGGTTGGATTCAAAGTAGTGAACCATGCCTGGTGGGTTTACGGAGTAGATCCTGTATAGGATACAATTTACAATACAATAAAATGTAATGCAGATTTATACATCATCTGATTGCCTACTGCATCTCTAGATGCTCTGCAGAATAATGGTAAACGTGGAGTCAAAATATCTTCTTCTTGGTTCTTTTGGTAAAGT